ATCTCTAAAACTACGCATTCAGGCGAACAGAGTTTCAAACAAGGGTTTGTAGAGGGCAAAATGATGGTGGAGTAAATATTTTCCAAAGGAACTCCTGCTGTTTTACATCGGAATTCAAAAGACGAGGCAATCTTATGTCCGAAAATTGACCTTGATCTCGACTATAGCCTTCAAATACATTTCAATTTGAAATCAAGATTTATATTAGATAATATTAGAAAGCACATTTGTGAGGCTTGTGGGATCACACAAGGTGACCTTGACTATAGCCTTGAATGTCATGTCAAAATTTCCAAGGAAAAACTACTCTTGTGTATAATGGAAATGCAAAAAGCCGGAAATTTCACGCCCAAATGTGACCTTGACCTCAATAACATTCAACCTTGATACAACGAAATTTCTGGTTTTGCCATTTCAAGTGTACAAATGAAAGCTTGCTGTGGAAATGTTGACTTGACCATGGAATCCATGTTCGACCGTCACGGTCAAGGTCACATATGAGTTATCCCCACAAACATCATAACTGTGCTGACAAATATTTTTGATAGTGCAAATTGTTTTCAACGTCTTGACTGGACTTAAAAATGGCCTGGAAGAAAATTGTCAAGGTCATGGTGGTGGTCGGACGTTTTCTCCTCCTAATACCGATGTAAAAAAGGAGACACTATCTAAAAATTTCCGCATGTCGTTGAAATGACCTTAAAGGTCAAAGTCTTTGTCAAGATCACATTATTTTGTCTCTTTTAAACTGTTCAAGTTTTGTGTTAAGTCTTTTTATAGGGTGAGTTTCCAAATATTTTGGTGGGAATATTAAAATGGGACACCTTGTGTATGCCATATCTTCCTTGCTATATCTGCAAAACCTTTATATCCTACAGATAACAGCTCTTTGAGCATTGTTATTGGTATTTCTTGAAAATAGCTCCGTCAAATTTCAGGACATTTCAGTTATAAACATAAGACCGGAGTTTGTTAGTAAGGTAAAGTCGCCTAATATGAGACCCATTTTGGAAAACATCTATAATTTCTGTAAAAATAACAAATTTTAAGTTATTACTGATTTGTTTTATTGGTAAGGGTTTATGCTTTAAAAAACACGGAACGAAAATGTACTTTTTTATTTATTTTTTCAAATAAAGCTACAATACTCATAAAATGTAAAAAGTAACTAAAAAAATTGGGTTCCTAATATGAGACCCTATAAATTTCTTTCCAAATAACATTATTTAGAGTAAATAGACCATAAAAATACATTATATAGTTACTTTTTCTGTCTTTTTTCACACATTGGGCACACAAAGATAGGATCTTCTGCACCACAATCTTCATGGGCCCATCTGTAGCACACAGTACACCTAACCCACTGTTCACCATGCTTGTCTGCAGAATACATGCTTGTGCAGAAGAGGCATTCTGCGTCATAATTTTCGTCACCATCACTCTCATCATCAACAACAACTTCTCCCAAGTCATCGCTTTCATCAGTTGAGCTGTCACTTAAATCGGCCCTCTTCTTTTTAAACCGTTTAGTACTTTTTGGTTTGCGAAACTTTGCTTCCCTTGCATCGTCAAACTTAACCTTCTTTGTAACTGATGTAACTTTGCTATGTTTTGCGGAATCTTCCTTTTTACGTTTCTTATCCAAACTTTCTGTTAAATCATCTTTGTAAGGAGATGAGGTAATCAATGCTGCACTGCCTGCACGAGCACTGGGCTTCTTGCTCTTTATTTTGGGAAGAGGTTTTATCTGCACTGGACTGACAAGCTTTGTAGGTTCTGAAAGGTATTTGACGGCTTTACGAGAACTATTTACAGCCCCCTGATCATTGGACTCTTTTGAATTTCCCGGCCGTGGATCATCTGCGGCATCCTCAATATCGCTAGAATCTTTGGAAGTTCCTGGACGGGGATTATCTAAAGCTGTTTTAATGCAACTGATACCTTCTGATTTTCCTGAAGTATATTCAATGTTTCTAGATTCTGTGGAAGATCCCGGTGGAGGACGACTTACAGTATCTTCAGGGACTGTTAATTTCTCCTCAACTTCGAACACTGAGAAATCATGATCTCGGAAAATATTTCTATTAAGCGGAAATAGTCCCGTTGTTCTAAAGGAGTTCACCGAAACCTCCATAGTGGCTGCTCTGTTATATGCAACTGAAAATAGTCTTGCAATGATAAATGGCGTGACAATACGATCAGGGTTGTTTCGCAGCCAAGTCTCAATTTCCTGAGCATAGTACGTTTTCAGAGGCCCCATGAATCCTACATCCAACGGTTGCATGCGATGTGTGCTGTGGGGAGGTAGGCAAACAATTGATACGTGGTTTTCTCTAGCTTTATTTATTACGTCTATGTTACGCGTATGGGAGTAGTGTCCATCGAGCACCAATAACACAGGATCTGATGGTGTTGGCTTTGTAAATTTAATAAAATGGTCAAACCATTGTGTAAATATTTCGGCTTGAATCCATCCAGAAGGGTGACATGCGTAAATGGAACCGGTTGGCGCACCGTCCATCAATTCAATTTTCATATTTTTTCTAGGCCACACAATTAAAGGCGGTACGTAAGTTCCTACGGCATTCATGCATGTCACCACTGTAATAAGGCCTCCCCTTTCAGCTGATGTAAGTGTTGCTACTTGCTTTTTACCTTTAGCAGAAATGACCTTACTTCTTTTATGTTGCACCACACTAATCCCTGTCTCATCCACGTTAAACAACCTTTGTGGTGCAAAATTGATTTTCGATAATTCCTTTTCGTACAAATCGAAGAATGAAGCAACGCTTTCTTGATTGAATCCCCGTATTCTGGCATTGGACATGCCTTGAGGTGACCTAACAGACAGCTGGGGATTACGTTTGAAAAATCCTCTAAGCCATTTTTTTCCTGCAACGCCTTTTTCCTGTGAAAATGGGTGCTGGATATTATTAGCAATTGCCAACTCGAAGGCCATGCGTTTTACATCAGATCTTCGCAGACCAAAAAACCTATTATCCATATCGAGACAGTATCGAACTAGCTCATCCTCGATAGCTTTTCCTAAAGCAGGTTTTCTACCAAGTGTTGTACGAACGAGTTCTTCAGGAGAAAAATTAGTGTTTTTAACATAACGTTCAAGGGTACCTTTCGGTACTTGAAAATGTTTCGCCGCTGTCTTGTAACCCATGACATGAGTTCGAACTGCTTTAATCGCCAACACCATTTGCTTGTTCCATTGTTTGCGACGTTTAGAAGAACTCCCCTGAAAAAATTCTATATAAATATCGGGGTCCTAATATGAGACCCTCCTCATAATGGGAACCCCAGAGGGTCTCATATTTGGAACCAACAACACATTTAGAAAAAAAATTTATAGGTTAGTTTGTTGTATTTCGAATGGATAAAGAAAAGGTGGGAATAAGACTACATTTGTTGTACTACATACAAATCATATTGCAAACCAAAATATACTTACCATGATGATAAAGTAAATATATAAAGGGAAAACGGTAAAAAACTTCACAGTACAAATTTTAACAAATCTCGCATTAAACAGCTGTTAAATGAAATATTGCGCCATCTAGAGGAGAGGGCCCGTACTATACCACTAGTAACCTGTAAATCATATGAATGTGGGCTTACAGGACTCTACAGAGACGATCATCTAGGGTCTCATATTAGGAACGGTCTCATATTAGGCGACTTTACCCTAATCCGAAAATTTTTGCTCTTTCCAATAACTACTATGACCTCAAAGCGAACTGGTTCTGAAATTGAAAAAAATAGGTGCATGCGTTTCCAGAGCAGAAAACCAGGTACTACCGAAATAATGTAAGCATTACGTAGTATCAAAACTCCTTGATTAAAAATATTTGTCTTACGTTATACATGTGACGTGGAAAGCTTCCTGTACGTACGGACCACCATTCTCCCATACCAGGAAATTTCTACAACCAGAATGGACTTATCTACTTGTGTCCCTTTTAGAGTCCTTTCCTTTTCGTATACCAAATGGTATAAAAACGCCCAATATGCTCATGAAAAGCTAGTTGGTTAGGTCCGGATGACTTTTATGGCATTCAATATGTGCACCGCATTCAGTTTGCGTATCCTAATCCACTTCTATCTAACGGGGTTGATCCAGCATACGGAATAGCATTAGCATAACTTATCTGACGAGCCGACATCGAAGAAGGCTGAGGAAAATTTTGTGCCTGGGCACGACCGACCCCACAAATTGCCCTCATTACCTTCTTCGTGGAACGTGACGCGATCGGATATGCATCATTGTGGTTACATTTTTACTCACCAGGCCAATTGGCTAGCAAGTATTGTGATCGCGATGCTTGTTTTTAGAAGCCTTTATTTCGCTTGACCTATTTGTTAGTATGTGTGGGTCAAATCCTGGAACTGAATGTTGAACCCGTAACCTTAGCCAATAGAGCTAAAATTCTATATACACGTTTGGTTTGAGTGAGATCAGCTAACCGCCGTCATTTTGGATCCAACATGACAGGTGCTACAAATGGCAATCTATCATTGCCATAGTAACCACTAGGGTATGGGTTTCAAATAAAATGACTTGATGACAGAAACACAATAAGCAAAGGGATTCTTAATCCAACATAGCGAACTCTACAAAATGACGATGTCCACTTTTCAAAATCATCCTTTAAATATGGGTATCAAGTGAAAGGACTTCATTAGAGATCAAAATAAGCATAAGCATTCTAAACCCGATATGGCGCCAGACACAAAATGGCGGCTTATGTTTTCCATTAGCTTTGCCTTTGACATAAATATTAAATTAAGGAGCTTGATGAAAGAAATATAACAATCAACTTGACGTCATTCTAATTACAATGTGACAGCCGCCACAAGTCTCGTTCTATAATTTCCACAGTCACTCCTATACTGCTATGGGCATCATTTGAAACGGATGAGAGAAATACAATGAGCAAAGACGTCATTCTAAGTCCAACATGGTGGCTGTCGCTAAATGGCGACTTAATTTGCATGGCCACCACTATGATATGCGTATCAAATGAAAAGTTTTAATGAGAGAAACACAATCAACAGATAACGTCATTCTAAATTCTATAAGGCGACCGCCGCAAAATATCGATTAATCAATATTCCACTTGTATCTTTAAAAATTTCGTAATAAAAATAAAATTGAAAGTTTTATGGAGTCCTACTAATAAGGCTTGTGGAAATTATATATAAATTAGAAAAACCAGTTATATATAAATAAAAATATAAAGAATAAATAAAGTGAAAATTTTTATTTTGCTTATAATAAACCGGAATAAATATTAAAAAATAGTTTTTCCGATCAGAAATATTCAAACGGTAATGAAGCGACTTATCTCAAATTTGCGTTTTGACAGAAAGATGGACGCTATAATGATTTTAATTTTTAAGGTCGGGGAAATCTATTATGTGTGAAATATGTCTAATAGGTGCATAGAATCACCGGGGTGGAAGTATACTAATATACCAACATAAAAAATTGTGATTCCAATTGTTCACCTCTGAAACGCCAGAAAACGAACTTTGAGTGATCCTTATTAGGTTTGCGATATGCATCCACTGCAATAACGTCACATAATTTTAGCTGGCTAACTTAATTAGAAAATGGTGCTTAGCCATCGAGTGTCGTATTTGAAATTTGAATGGAAAAATCCTCAATTTCTTCTTTTGTTTCCAGGTTGGTTTCCTATGTTGATTGCCCCTACCTGCCTCTGTACCTCAGAAACAGTGGCGTAGCTACTAAGAGGCTAGGCGGGGCAGTGCCCTGGAGCCCTCAAGCTCAGGGGGCCCTCGAATCCTTACTAGAAGATACATTTTCATGGCTGCGCTTTTATCGCTGCCGATAAAGCCTAGGCACCCTAAAAAACTGAACTGGTTTAGCTTTTTGGCGTGACAGTCGGTTTCTGATGTCGTGTGTTGCGAAAACAATTAAAATCAAATATATGTCGTACCAAAATGTAAGTATAGGGCCATAATAATTACTTATAAAATATCAAAAATAATTGAATATCTTTTGGAGACCTATAGTAGAAGATATTTGATGAACATGCGAGGTCGGAAAAATTGTTTTAAAAAAAGTTATTTATTGTTAAACTTGTAGGGTACTTTTTTTTACGAGTGCAAATATCTTCGTAAAACTAGTTTATTTGAAGCAAGTAGGAGTAAGTAAGCTAATGTCAATATTTTTTTGTACTAGTTTCAATTTTATTTGATTTTAGTACCACTGATATTGATGTCCGTTACATAAATAAATCTATAGGTTTCGGCTACTCATTGTATAGTGCAAAACACCGTGAAAAATACAAGTCACCTGCAACAGGTACATTAATTCAGGCGCGAAGAGATTATTTTTGTCTCCACCGTGGTAACATTGTCGGCGATAAAATATAAAATATTTGCTGGGGATTCCCCAACGACGTATTGTATCGTATCATTACGTTCCTCACTCCTTTTACTTTTAACGTTGTCGGTGCATAGTAAGTACCTACTTAAGCACAATCTTATATAAATAATGCCTAAGTAAATTGGAAAACTAAAATTATGGATAAAAAAAAGAAACCCAGTGGTGCATTTAAACGCAAACAACGCCAAGAAAGAGAAGAAGGTAAACAAAAATTGCCCAAAATTGACAAGTTTTTTAGTCACGCTTCTGGAAGTACTATTGATAGTGACTCAAATAATGTGGTAACTGCAGTGTTGGTTGAGAACCCTACTGAAGAAGATGCAACAATTATTGAACGTGGACGATGTTTGTATGGTACATAAGAACATAAAAACGGGAGATTTGGAGTAACCACAGACCTCTAAATTTTTAGAAAATGTTTACGATAAATCGCCTTATGACTTGGGAAACTTCACGAACGAAATCCTACATGATAATGAAAGACGTCAAATTCTTGATATGGGACCTTTACAGCCTTCAGGACCTTTTCCAACTGATATCAACCAGGATAATAGGTGTTTTCCAAAATCATACTTTTTGATTGTGCTATTCCAAAATACTAGACGCTGCCTGTTGTCAACCCTGCTGGTTATTTGCTTCACAGAGGAATAATGTCTGGTGTAGCTAAGTGATGAGTGGTGTGTATAATGGTGTACAAAAACATATTAAGGATA